TCAATGGTCCTGACTCCTTAAACAGTTGGAGGAATCATAAGGGTTGAATTTTATGAAGTTAAGGCCTTCAGGTTTAAGCCGTTTGTTGCTTCTTTTGAAAAAAATGCACAGATAGCACATGCCCAGGAAGTAATTAAGATTTGCCTCGGTCTACAAATTATTAGCATTACCCAGTGTCATATAATTCTGAGTCTGTGAACCCAAGTGCGAGCTTCCATTTAATCAGTATCCTTCTGTTATCAGTCATTTGGAGTGTGCAAGGCGTTGCTCACCATTATCTAAACAGACTGACATTGTTGTTAGATTGTTTAATGGTGAAACTTTCCTAACATTCTTTTCAACATATGAGAGATTAAGACTGGTTAGTGTCAATCATATACATAGTCATTATTTTACTCATAGTATGGTCTCTTAAGTTCAACCTTATTTCATGTATGTAAAGATTTTTGTAAGAATAGAAGACAATATTTTTCATTGAACAGTGAATGAAGAAGTGTGTTTGATATTTAATGAAAGTGTCGTGTGCCCAAGTCCAAATTCTCTGTCACAAAAGTTTTTCCTTCAAAGATGAGATAATACTGTTGGTGGTCAGAAAGGGGAGTCAGCTGACTTGATTCATGTACATTGACTGACAGTAAAGGCGGAACAGATTCTGGCAGTCGGTACTTTCTGGATGGTACAAATGCATTTTTACTTTTTTTTTCATTTGGTTTGGGTACATGCAGCATGTTCAGATTAGTACACAATTCCATGTATTTGATGAGGACAAAAGGTTGCTTAAAGCTTCACTTATTTTTCCTTGTTGGCTTACAAAAATACTAACTTTAACTTGAAAAGAATATGTTTTTGGTGTATCTCTTTGCCTGAATGAACAGCTGTAGCAAAAGCTTGTGAAGTCTCTACGTGATAAATATGCATTATGATCCAGATATCGAGCCAATTTAGGGTTCAGTGGCTACTTTGTGTGCCTTGTTCCTTGACTTGATCTTCATTCAACAACTTGTTAACATTAAACACAGGTTCATGTGGCAAGGCTTGAGACTTCAGTATTTCAATATACATGTATATGTATTTTGGGGAGCAAGTCTCATTGCTGGTCATTTTGGTGTCTTTTCTGCTAACAAAAAACAATACTCAAGTTAATCCAGCACCCTCATTACAGTGATTGAGAAAAGCTTCTCAGTAGTTAAAAGTCAAAACTCTTTAATAAGAGCTCTGTCAATACAACACAATTGTTTATGACCAGAAATGTTGGGGTCTTAATCCTTTGTTCATTGTTTTTATTCCTGATAATACAAGGTTCCTGTCATAACAAGGTAACTTGCGAAGTTTGATAGACCTTTTATTAATGAGGTTTGACTGTACATGGTATGAATTATGTATTATGTGTCCATGAATCAGCTTGAATATTTGTTCCTATGAATAAAAGCTGTATACTTATTGTAGCATAGTTGCATGTTCAAATTGGAGCATACCAAAGTAAGGCTGTTAGAATTGTCAATTCACATGCCGAATCTGCTTACATGTATTACATTATGTGATTACCTTATCAGGAAACATAAACTTACAGTAGGCCTGTGTTTTTCTTGCTCATCAAAACCAGCAGTGGGCTTTGCAGTATTTCTTGGCTTTCAGGCCGTTATTTTACAGTCATCATTGTACATGGGGCTTAGTGTCATTTTAGTCTACATACCTGTGTACATGTTTATGTATTGTATGGAGAAAGTGACATACTGGTAGCTAAATTACTTGATAGGATTGAGGAAGATTTCAGCCAAAGAAGCCACATTAAAACGTAATTCATGGTCAGTGCTACTAATAACTCCACACGCACGTTGGAGAGCCATTCAGCCCTAGCATTTAATGAAGCGATGTCCACATTGGAGCTGCTTTTCTTTAGGCCCAGTGTGGTTTGTGTTCATTGTAATGGTACATATACATGTACTTCAAACATGGAATGGTTGTGTTTGAAGCTTTGAACATTTTATGTTCATGAACATTGAAGGACAGTATGGTATTAAATAAGTTTGGACAAGTATGCATGGAGCTTTTCATTTACCAAAACATAACATGTAAATAATATTACATACTGTTATTACAATTGTGCGGCTGAGAACAGGTTGTCTTAAAATGTTTGAAGTCATCAAGAAAGTTGTCATGGTTGTCATGTTCTGCAGTCAGAAATGCACTTTAAAAATTTTGGCAAATGGTACCTTTTCTTCCAGATGGTGTTTTGCTCTTAACATGACTAACAGGTCTTTAAAGTATGGGATACTTGCTAATTGTATTATTATGGCCAACATTTTGATGATGTAGGTAAAATAAATTAGCTTTGACAAGCAACTAGTATCTGCTAAATGTGAAAAATGTCCACTTCATTAGGTACATCATTTCTGAACCAAGCTCTTAATTCTGAACCAAGCTGTTTTGTTAACTTGTACTAATTATTTCATGATACGCATATATTTACTTGATACCAGTCCATGTTTACAAGCTACTTGAATAAATTGTCTGCTTTCCGAGAGAAACTGTCAAATTGTCAGATTTCAGTTGTCATCTGTCGTTGTTCTTTAATAATACATGTATTGGAGTTTTGGGCAAATAACACAAAAGTACATGCAAGAGGACTGGCAAGGAGATACAAACCTGAAAACACGGACGTATGAAGCAAGATATGAGACGGAGAGAACGGCCCCCACTTTGTGTTAGTCATTGTTTCACTGGAATCTGAGGAATTCTTCTCAGACATCTAGGGGGATGTGTTAGGTAACAATAGTCTAGAGTGTCTATGGGGATTGGACATTCGGGGAGGGGGGTAACCCTCGGTCTCATTTCTTCAGCTTCAAGCCCCAGCTTGGTGCCAATGTGACTTTAGATGTAAATTCTGCTCTGTTAGAGTAACAGATTCCTAATCCAGAAAATAAGTGAAGAAATTCAAAGAAGTAGGATTGCCAAAACCAGTGACCTGAGTAACATGCTATTGGTGGTGCCATTGATTCTAGGCACTGATGACAAGGCCACAGGCAAAGAAATTGAGAAATCACTGGATACAACCGACATGGTTGAATGTGGAGTGCCAGCTTGGAAAAAGTCTTCCAACCAGCACTATTTCTTAAAAAATATTCCGAGTTAACTGTCATGAAACTATTTCAATGGGAATTGTACTTTGGGGAAATGCAAGTGAGAATAAGCCCATGTTGACCTACATGTACAGAATCCAACAGGAAACAGTATTATGGATGCAATGTCCTGAGCTGATGTGGGTCATCCTGTATGTTAATTTCTTTGTGACACTGAAGCTTCTATTGGGGTCAACTCCTCACACTGGGTCATATGAATAAAAAAATAATGGCTGTAACTACCAAGTTAAAGCTTTTATTTAGGTTTGTATGAATCACAAAGCGTATGCTTCACTGGAATGCATTCACATAAAGTGAAGTATTTGCTTTTTGCTTTTTACTTTGCTGGACAATAAGCTATTTGTTTTGTATGAATAAAATAGAGTGAATGCTTTAGAACTGGAGTACAGTATTTGCTTGTTTTCAAGATTGGATCAGTGCAACCTTGAAAAAGAAGCAAATTACATTGACAAAATGGCAGTATTCACGAATGTCATTCGGAAGAAAATAATATATGCACTTAGGAGGGGGTGCATAGAACTGAAATACAAGCATTGTTAAGCTTCTCTATTAAATTTACTATTAGGAGTCAAGCATACAAAATGGATGGGCTGTATGAAAAAGGTAGTAATTTTGTCATCTTTTACGTCGATAACTGAAGAGTTTGTGATTGCATCTTGTCAAGAAGTACATTCTCACTGTTTTAGCTTGATGAGTTTGTTGGTTCCATGTTTTGGAAACATCGGACGTCACTTTCACTTCATTTTTTAGGTTGAGCTTTTTAACCAGTTACTTATCCATTTAAGGAGGTGGCAGTCACGTGACAGTACTCAATCGCCATTAGCCAAATGATACTGCTTTTCAAGTTGAAGGAACACATTTTGCTTGCATTCTGCATTGGGCAGAGAAGTTTCATCACCAAATAGATTTTGTAGATCGGAATTGCTTCACCATGCGCATCTACTATGCTGTAGTTTTGGTTTTGTGTTGCCACAGCTCATCAGGTCCTACATGTAGCTGCTCTGTGCGTGTCTGTACGTACAGACAATGGAAGCCCTTGCCAAAAACCATTCCGCTGTTAAGTTAGTCACTGACATTTAAGCATTTGCTACCATTTGTACAAGCAAATGCTTAGGCCTAGAAGTAAAAGAAACATTTTATTTTTAAAAATTCAAGCATTTGCTAATTTGAAATTTTTTTACTCCTTGGTAAATGCGCTTGCTATTTGCTCCAACTTCATGGCATTTGCTAGTTTTTATTCACATGACCCATTATCTTGCCACATAAAATGGGAGTATCATGATACAAAAGGGTATAAAAATATGGATTTTCAGTACTTTCCACTTTCAATAAAAATTAATTTCAAGACAGATGTGCCCCCTGTGTAGTTGTAATCAACAGGAGTTATTTTTTCGGAGTTGTGTATGCCATTGACACATGGACAGAATTGTCTCATTGCATCCAAGCTTCATGCCAATTTGTTAAAATAAATTTTTTGTTTCTACATGTTTAACTGGATCCCTCATGAAGGAATAATCTATGTTCTGTTCACGACTCAATTCAGCTACCCCTATAAACACTAACCCTCTAGTGTATGTAAAATCATATTGAAATCAGAGGATTTGGGACTGTCAGGGACTGTTCTTTGGTGTGAGAAAGAATTCTTGCCAGCACTGAAAGAAGTCTTTAAAGCACTTTGATGCCACACCAACAGAACAATCTGATAGGATTATGCTGTGCTTCAGGACTGAGTTGGTAAGGACTTTCTGAGCCAGTGTTTGATTGAAATGAAACCCAACCAAACAAATAAACTAATGGCTGTCATTTGCCTGTTATTCAAGTACAAAGAAATGACAACAAAGTTACACTGTAGAAAAGCTATTCTAGTCTATTCTTTCATTTAATCACAACAGACAATAAAATATATTAAAAAAAAAAGAAACATGAAAAAACCCCAAACCAAAACTTGATCAATGTGTAAATACCTACTTTAAATTTAAAGATCATTACGTTTAATTGTGGTATATGTAGCATGCATTTATGTTTTAAAGGGAATTCTTGAAGAAATACACCATTAAAATTATCCACAGCATTAACCAAATATCAAACTTCATAATAAGGTGTTATCATTTATAGGTCATTCACTTGCTATTTGTGCATTACATTTCCTTGTGGCTAAAAAGTGTTGAAAAGCTAAAATCAAAAGTTGCAGTCATGGTTTGTTCTGCTCTCCAATTCAGTGTTCAGGAAACGCTGTAATTCAGATGACTGCAGTTAAGCACACTGACGTAATAGATGACAGCAACCATGCAGATCATGTGAAGGCTTGCACGTACTCTGCCAAATCAAAAATGAACTACTACTGGCAATTTCCAAAAACGCATTGATTATAGACATTGGAAATGGCCTCCAGTCATTTCTTTCGAAAAATGTAAGCTTTCCTGAAAGAACTATTCTACAGGGAGCTTAGTCCCATAACTATCATTAAACAAATATGCTTTCCAACAATAATTTCCTTAGTTACCTTATGGACAGCTACACTGTACTTTCACGACACTGAACTTTAATTGTTAGCAAACTTGTCATTTCCTTTCCTCTAACATACATGTACATGTAGAGCATTAACTCGTCTAAAGATATCCAACTAAATCAGCCACATATTCTAAACATTTTCTAGATTTCTATTTTCAGCTGTGGCTAGCTTTGTATTGCAGTAAATTCTTTTCCTTTTACCACTATTAAGATGTGATAAGTATTAAAGAAAACAAAAAGTTTACAGAAACTGAGGATTTTTGACCCACAAGGTTTAAACATTAAAGTAGGTTTTTTTTTCAACGTAAGTCAATCAAAACAGCCAATATTTTGTTTCACATGCAGACATTATGACTTAAATCTACACAAAGATGACAAATATCGTGCACTACTTGCTAAAGAAAAGTATTTTGTATTTTCTTCCTCCTATTTTACTTCCTCAGCCATTTAAAATCTAAGATGATAACAGCTAGAGCCCATTTAAATATCAAATATGCATCAAAAACTCACAAATCCTGATTTGAATCCCCCATTTCTCTTCTCAAATTTCTTTTCTCTACTATTCATCCCCATGTAGTATCTGCTATGATTCTCAATGACAAGAAACATCAGAAGTGTTGTTAAAATTCACATCTATGTTAATGGTATCTGACTTCCTCATCTAAAATCTAATCATGCAAGTAAATCAAGGTCTTAAATACAACCTCATCATCCGTGAAGGTGATGAATTTTGTAAATACCCACCAATTACAAGAAAATAACTGCCAAGTTTCCCGCTAGAACACATCGTCGTCATTGTCTATATAGTTGGATTACACGCATATTCTTAAGTATTACAGTACCATGTGGACACAACCCCACACAAATATATCCTGTGCTGCAGTCCAGCATACACCAGGAACAGCTTTCACCCAACTTTTTTACATTTGTTTTATAAACTGAATGTATGCATTACCTTCAACTAACTGTATTTAAATTACTGCAGATCAATGAATGGAGCTTGACAGGAAAAGGCCATGTTAATCAGCCATGACATAATGGTACATGATGGTTCTTTGCTGTGCTAAAGTCCCTGGAATATCCATTTCCCACATTTTGGCTGCCGCCTTTCATGCAGACAGCCCACTGCAAAGAAGCGCTACGCCCCGCTCATAGAAACTATGTCCCTTGTTCGTGCCTTCGGCATCTCCACTCTCAATGTTCACGGTGAAGAGGAGTTCTGCTCTGGTCTGGTTCAGGTAAACTGGCAGCAACACCTTGTTAAGAGAGTAGGCAATCAAATGCACTGAGATTAGGGCATTACAGTCAGTTTAGTTTGGGGCAGGAACTTTACAACTTCCATCAAATCTGCCATATATTGTAGGACATTTCGGGGAGTGTGCGTTTGTTGACCCAAGCAGTTTGGAGCGGACTGATCTGGAATTGGAATATGCTAAAGAAGTCTCATTCTTCGGCCAGACCAATGCAACTGCCAGGGTTTACCTTGAGTCTAAAACTGGATCCACGTACATGCAAGGTAGTTACATTAGGAAGGTGCTTAGACAAATTAATACACAATTATCTGTTTAAACCAGTCCTCACAATTGTCACAAATCTCAAATGGTACTTAGAATTATTAGAAATTCTGCCAGATATATTTTCCTGCTGATTTCAGTGTCCAAGCAATATTGCCATTAACTACTTGCTGCCAGGTGCCTTTGGAAATGCAGTGTCTAATACCGAGCGATTTTGCAATATCTTCAGCTTTCAAAAAATCTTCAAAAATTCATATCTTTTTTCCTGAATGCCTAAACCCCATCGAGTGACTCTCTGGTGGTTACTCTGATCTGACAGACAACATCTATTGACGCCCGTGTATTTTAGCCAGGCCTGCCGCCTTGTAAAAAGAGCCCAGTTTGTGCGGTGTTATGTAATTTTCTTTTGTTCCCGACTGGCACAGTGCGCTGCTGGCATCTTTTCAATAGGGGGCAGATTAGCGTGCAGCGGTATTGTATCACTCATTACTGGAGCGCTGGAGCGGTTTTGTCCCTGGTGGTAATCCGCTCTCGCTGAAAGCCACAAACACTGGTATAATCTTTCAAAACAATGACGGATTTCCTCCGCTACTGACAACTGAATAAATGAAGGCAATTCCAAGCAGCCTGGTCTTTTGTTGCGAGTATGGTCTTTTGTTACAATGCCCAGCCCTTTTTCCAATTTCGGGCAGCCCGGCTTTGTGTATAAAGAAAATGTACCTGAAACCAGGCTTCCCGGCAGCAAGTGGTTAATTAAGGACATTCTAAAGTGATTTGACCTTTGACAAGATACAACACTGAATTGATGAAACACGATGCTAACTCCCCATAAACTTTGCAGTAAGAAAAAACACCCACTTAAAATATAACCAAAGTTTACCTTCTTCTTTGCGTCAGAAGTTCCTCTGTAAAATAAAAAGGGAAGAGGTTACTGTGCGTAAATGGTTCTGTAAGAGGTATATTGGACAGAGCAAAATTGACACAGATGTAATGCTCAGTGCTGATCACAGTTTTTGATCTAATGATTTGTATAAAAGTCATGTCTGAGTGGTTCCCAAGTTTCGTTCCCCAGGTTTATAACATTGTGAGTTTGATCCTGAACCATGGGCAAGGGAGTGTCTCACAATTTGGAATGCTTCAAACGTTTTCACTGAAACAGCGTGTTCCCACAGCGGTTCCAGCCTTCCATTAGGAACACCCTGTTCTGTTGAAATGATCTAGTGGAACGGTCATGGACGCTGCATTCCATGGCACGGACTGTTCCTACAGCCCGTCGCAATACATTTGCTAACTGCAAATCTTTGCCTGTGTTGTGTCAGGAAAAATGGCAGATAATACGCATCCTTCAAGGGTAGTTTTGCTTATTTTTGGAATGCTAACAGACATCATCTGCTGTGATTTGATACAACTTGAGCAAAATTAGAGTGGAATTTACCGGCAAACAATTTGGGTAGCATTTCTGCAGGAATGCTGTGTTCCCAACGGAGAGTGGTATGCTCAACATGAACGCCAGCATTCCAAATGGAAACATTTCAATGGATCATGGACAATCTCATATTTTGAGACGCTTCCTAAGGGACCCTGACCACCCACAATACAGGGATAAAATACTCCTGAAAAATATGTCTTCATAAAAGAAAAGACTGCTGGCTAGCTGAGTGGAAATATGACAAGACCCTTGTGCTGTGTTACATGTTCCAGTTCCACTTCTCTCAGTTTCTTTGACATTATTCCGCGGAGAAATAATGTTATTTGATGAGAGAAAAATGGTCTGGTTAAATACTACCAGGCTTGATACAAGACTTAGTACAGAATTTCTCAATTTGTAATGAAATACAGAAAGTCAAGAATGAAGAAATTAGCTAATCCAAGGACAAGTGCAATCCTGTGCTATGCAGTCTGCCAGATAATCCCTATTGTGCTATACACTCAATACACTACACGTCAGACTATGTCATTACTTTCAAGGGCCTACGAAAGGAGCAAGAGCTGTACAGAAACTCGTTTTTTGTTTGGTGCAAGTAAACAAGGTGTGAAGTCTCCATAGCTTACCGAACCCACTTGAAGACCGTCGGAGGCAGATCTGTGGAGATGATGGATGTGATATACAGCTTGTTTCCCTTACAATTGGCACCCTGCAGTTTCAGGCCTGAAAGATTTCAACACAATCATTCAGACTTGTTACAAATAACATGAGACATTAGACAGAGTTCCAGAGACAGATAGTTCCTCATGTGAACTCTAAATGCGTGACCCCAAATCAAGCTGAACAGCTGTATTAGATACAGGAATTTTTTCTAGTCCCTAGTGAACTTGGATCCTGGGAATATGTTGGGTGAGGCATCTTGCAAGGAAATGAGGCACATATTCCCATGGGATGAGAAAAACTAAGATAAGAGTTGGAGAAACTCGGGAAATTATGCTTGATTTTCTTTTTGTTGTTGGTGTGAAAGGTGACGAAACTCTGAAGGTGGTTTACTGTGGGCCCAAATCTGCCATGAGTGAAGTGTACACAAGACTGGCACTTCACAGATTGGTGGGATGGTTCAGAAGCTGAATACGACCGATTAGAATCAGTGCCATACCTGTAACAGCAAAGCTGCAGTCATCCATCTTAAGCTGCTGGCCTGGATCAGAAACTGTCACCTGGTATTCCATATGAAAAGACTCATTGACTAATGCGAAGTATGGAAGGTTTAGTTGTATGTCTAGTGGTGGGGGGAGAGTGCTCGCTTTGGGAAAAGTTGCTTAAGTGGTTCGTGTTATCTTCATTT